CAGTTTTATTTGTTTTGGTTACACACACAACTAAACAGGCAACAGGGAGAGGTCTTCGCTCCATACACCGCAGATGTTCTGCTTTTGGGGTGTATGTACACCTCAGCTCGTCTATGTGGGGTGTCTGTACACCTCATATGTTCACTCTGTTGCTTTTCCGGTGTCTGTACACCTCAACAAGTTTACTATGCGTGTGCATGGGGTGTCTGTACACCTCAGCATATGTACTTTGTGTGTATGTGTGTGGGGTGTCTGTACACCTCAGTGTTCGTACTGTGTGTGTGTGGGGTGTCTGTACACCTCAGTATGTATACTATGTGTGTGTGTGTGTGTGTGGGGTGTCTGTACACCTCAGATGTTTAGTCTGTGCGAGGCGGTGTGCGCGGAGGTAGGGGAAGAAGTGCGGCGGTGTCTGCGTCGTTCTTTTTTGGTGAAGGAGCAAAAGACAGACAAAGACAACACACACAAACGAACACACACAGAGCAGGAACACTCCATGGAGTAGCAACTCCTGCTGCTGCTGCTGCTGCTGCTGCGGCTGCTGCTGCTGCGGCTGCTGTTGCTGCCGCTGCTGCTGTTGCTGCGGCTGCGCCAGCAAGGATAGCTGCCTGCTGCTGCTGCTGCTGCTGTTGTTGTCTCTGGTTGCTGCTGCTGCTGTGGTACGCACCATGCATACAGCAGCAGAGGCTCAGAGACACCCCACAAGCAACAGCAAATGAGTAATATAAACACAAACAGAAAAAGTAAAAATGAAAGAATGCAGACAGGGGGAGCGTTCACTAGCGAAAGCAGCAGCAGCAAACGCAGCAGCAGCAGCAACTGCAGCAACAGCAGCAGCAGCAGCAAGCGCAGCAGTACTGGACGGGGACAGCAGCCACAATCGCAGGCGCAAGCGTCCTAGAGACCCCCATGAAAGCAGCAGCAGCAGATGCAGCAGCAGCAGCAGATGCAGTAGCGGCAACAAGTGCAGCAGCAGCAGCAGCAGCAAAAAGTTGACTCGACCCTCCGAGCCTTCTGCGTTCCGCTTTTTCATTAAGACGCAAAAAGGGAGACTAGCAGTAGCTTTTCTCTTTGACGAGGGTTTAGGGTTTAGGGTTTAGGGTTTAGGGTTTATGCGGCATGCATATGAATGCGTTCGTGTACTGGTGCAGCTGCGCATGCAGCAGCACGGAGATGAGTAGCAGCACCTGTTCTTTGGTTGCTGCTGCAGCGGGGTTTGAGTGTTTTTGGTGGTTTAGGGTTTGTTGTTTGTTTTCTCTCTGCTGCATTTGCTGCTTCTCTTCTCTCATGCAGCCTCGGGGGCCTCTTGGGCTTCTTCTTCTGCTGCTGCTGCTGCTGCTGCTGCTTCTGCTTCTGCTGCTGCTGGTGGTGGCGGTGGTGCAGCGTTGTGGGGTTGTTGCTCTCCTGTTGCTGCTGCTGTTGTTTCTGTTTGCTGCTGCTGGCTAAGCAGCAGTAAGAGCAGAGAAATAAAAAAAAAAAAAAAAAAAAAAAAAAAAAAAAAAAAAAAAAAAAAA